GTTGCTGCTGATGGTCACTATCATTTCAGTATTTATAGAGTAGCTAATATGCTTTATGTAAATCATTGCTACCACTGTAGTTCCATAAGAACATATGCCAGATCAGGCCAAAGGTCATAGAATCATAAAATAGCAGAGCTGGAAGGGGCCATGAAGGCCATTGGATCCAACCTCCTGCTGTTGCAGGACACCATGTTACACCATCCCATTCAGATGGCTTTCCAGTTTCACCTTGAATGTCTCTAGTGAGGGAGAGCCCACCACCTCTCTAGGCAGCTGGTTCCACTGTCATATTTCTCTGACATTGAGGAAGCTTTTCCTGATGTCCAGCCTGAATCTGGGTTGTTGCAACTTAAACTGATTATTCCGTGTCCTACACTTTGGCATCAGCAAGAGGAGATCTTGCCCTTCCTCTTTGTGACAGCCTTTGAGGTACTTCTAGAGGGATATCATGTCCCCACTCAGTCTTCTCTTCTCAAGGCTGAACATGCCCAGTTCTCTCAGTCTCTCCTCACAGGGCAGTGTTTCCAAACCCTGGATCCTTTTTGTTGCCCTCCTCTGGACCCTTTCTAATTTGTCTGCATCTTTTTAAAATCCTGGTGCCCAGAACTGGACAAAGTATTCCAGGTGAGGTCGGACTAATGAGGAGTTTAGGGGAAACTTTAGGTCCATTTAGTCCTGCATTCCATATGCAGCTGCCCACAAAATCACCCAAGCAGGATAGGTACTCGATCGACCTCTGTCTGCCAGAGCTGCTCAGCAACTTGGATATATATGCAAGCAGGCCATCTCTCGTGAAGGAGGTAGCGCAAAACTGGCAAGGCTGGTAGCCACTGATGGCCTCCTCCCTCATGAATCTGTCCAACCCCTTTAAAGCCGCCCAACTTGCTAGCCATCACCACATGCTGCGGCAGTGGATTCCATAGTTTAACTATACATTGGGTAAAGAAGCACTTCCCTTTATCTGTCCTAAACCTCCCACCAGTCAGCTTCATGGAATCAACCCAGGTTCTAGTAGCATGGAAGTCCACACCATCCACTATTTTAAATATCTCTATCATGTCTCTCCTTCCTTGCTTCTTTTCTAAGCTGAACAGCCCCGGTTGCTGTCGCCCCTCCTCACAGGAGAGCTGCTCCAGCCCACTCGTCATGTTGCCCTTCTCCATACTTTTTCAAGCTCAATAATGTCCTTTTTCACATATGGCAACCAGAACCGAACACAATATGCTAAATGCAGTCGTACCAAAGATTTGTATAAGGGGAGTGAGATCTTGCCAGTTCTATTTTGCATTTCCTTTCTAACTATGCTTAGCATGGAGCTTGCCTTTTTCACAGCAGCTGAGCACTGAGCATTTTAATCCAGCGGATCTCTACTACCCCAAGATCCCTTTCTTGGTCAGTCCATGCTAGCTCAGATCCCATCAGAGTAAAGTTGTAGTTGGAAAGTTTTGCCCTGACCTAAGGTATACTTTGCACTTGCTTACACTGAAGTGCACTCCAGGTCCAAGGCTATGCACTTGCAAACAGCATTTCATTTGTCCTGCTTCGGAGTTTTAGTGAGGATAAGGAATGCCATTTCAGCTGGGCTGTAACCGTTCTGGATTACGTTACAGATGAATCGAAATGGCAGTGTGAAAAATGTGGGGTCAGGGACCGTGTAGCTCTGTTGCAGAGCACCGACATTGCATGCGGAAGGTCCAAATTCAGTTGCTGGCATCTCCAGTTAAGTAGTATGTGATGGAAAAGGCCACTTTCAGGGCAGGGTAAATAATCTCATCTGGCATAAAGCAGACTCCGATGTTGCTCCTAGTATTTCTTGATCTTCCACTCATACTGGAAACACAGATCTTTCCAGATGTTCAACATCAATATGGGCTGACCAGTTCCAGGGATAGAAGCTATTACTGTGGCAGATTTTCTTCTTGAGCAAATGAAAGGGCCATATTTTATTTTAGTAGACATGTCCCACATACTTACACCTCCCTTAAGGAGGGAATCATGCCAGACTCCATTCAGTTCAGCATTATTTCCAAGAAACACAGCTATCTGTGGATGCTTCCATACTCCCCTAGAAAGGGGCTAGTGGTCCAGTCACTACAGAACAAATGAAGGGAGCCGGAATGTTCTGTTACCTATTTTACTTTCAGGAATATTTTGTTGTTAGATTTTAAAAATGAAGACTATGCAAAACAAGAGAGGAGAATTGCAGTAACCACAGCAATCTGAGTTCCGGAGGTCCTATTAAAGATGAAATGAGTGCTGAGAGGACTTTGAACATGTGATGGCAGCATGTTCCAAAGTTTCCAGCAATGGTTTTAGAAAGCTGAAATTCATCCCCCCCTCCCCACATCCAAGATATAATTTCTAGCCTCATTTGCAATTTTTCAGAGTTTTCTTTCAGTGAGTAGAGCAACTTCTCTCTCTCTTTCTCTCTCTCCTATGCACAGATTTTAGCATAGTGAGCATCTTTTAATTTTTCACATTCCAGGCCATTACCCTGATACAGGTTTTATGTTCTTCTTCCTTTAGTTGATGGGGATTCACTTGCATCTTACTGGAATCAGTAAGCTTTGCTTTCAAGTCTGCAATGCACTTATGACGTTCCTCCACACTGGAGGGGAGGCTACCTTTGCTGCACCCCAGCATGGGAGTGATTGGGAAAAGCCCACATTTGTGGTAGACGCATGTGGGTTCTGCAACACCTGGAGGGCGAACTGGGCTGATGGAAGTGTTTATGCCAGTGTCTCAGTACAGCAGTGAGTATTGCTTACTGATTGTGAACAGCAGGAATTTGCTCTTAGCTATCAAACACGGCCCACAAAATCTTATATTGAAATCAAACTGCTCTTAAAGAAACAGGTTTTAAAAATCCATTAGGTCATGTTAAACACCTTAGTTCAAGCTGTCTCATTGCATATGTTTTTGGTAAAAGAACACAGCTTGTAGTATTTCAATTTTCACATGGAATGTATCTATTGTACATTAGAAGCATCATTTCCATACATTCATTCACAGGATGCCTGTGATACCCAGCCTGGATGCAATCACTTCAGTCTGACTTTTGAAAAACAGTTTATACATCTGTCCTGTTCTTGGAAATCAAAGTAATTTTTCAGTAAATGCATTTGGGCTTTCAGCCCTTTGCCTCCCCTCTGCATCCTTACATGTCATCCTGTGCTCACTTATGTAAGATTAGGTCCCTTGAACCTGGTTGTGACTTACTTCCAAAGAGTGGTGGATTGTATGGCTGCACCATTAAGTAGGGAACTCAGCTAGACATTCCTGGGTAGACTTACCTCCAAGTTCAGTACAGCTTTTGGCATGGCTGTTTGGATGAGGGATATTAAGGGATTCCAGTGAATTAGGCGATTTGTTTTTGGAAAAGGCAACAGTTGGTTTTTGGGCCTCTTGGAAGGATGACGAAATTATATTCCAGAGTATCTAAATCCAGTCATAGGGAATGTTGGATCTGGAATTTGTGCATTGAATTCCTTCCACCTCCAGTATCACGATCTTTGATCTCACTGCTTTATTTGTTGGTGGGGTTGATGAAAGTTCTTTCACATTTGCAGAGTAAGAAAATCCCAGAATATGGCCTGAGATAGCTGCCAGTGGGTTACTTGGCATCCACCATGCTCTTGTATATATTAATTCAAGTTTGGCTAATTGTACATCATCAGATTATGCAAACAAATGCCAGTAATTCAGCCCACAAGGTCTTTTGAGTGCAACTCTGTGTGCTGAAGAACACCTGGACCCTGCTGGGGTGGTATTTAACAAATGAGCATTGAGCATCCAACAGTTAAGCTCTACAGACAAAACAAGTCTGGCTTGATCTTCCCTTGCATCCCATTTTTCCATGTCAACAACCAAGCAAAATAAATGTTTGAGGAATGGTAGGATGATGGTACTGAGTCATGATGTAAAACGAAATCTGCATCAGCACTGCAGGTTGGAGATTAGATTCTCTGAAAGGCCAATTTATAAACCAAGTCCTATTCCATATGTGCTTTTTCAGTGATTATCCATAAATCAACTAGGTTGAGAACCAACATTGAAATACACAATATCTATCTATCTATCTATCTATCTATCTATCTATCTATCTCTATCTATCTATCTATCTATCTATCTATCATCATCATTATGCCGAGGCATGTGGTGATGGCATATAAAAGTTTTAAATAAAAAAAAAAAATCATCACCATCTCTCTAAAGCATTTATATAATGAGCATAATGCCTTCAAAATGGTTTCCAATATGTTTAATGCCTTTGCACTTGTAATGCAAATGAAAGCTTCCTTTCTGAAGAGTGGGTTCCTCTTTGTTTAGCCATTGAGTTTGGTCATTTGTTTTTATAAACCCCTTTGTGTAGGGGAATGGCAGACCTCCTGCATTAGAACAAAAATGGAATTTATATTTGATATATGTGCCTTTACATTAGAAAATGAGCCCGGGGTCCTCCTGAACCTATCAGTCATTGGTACCTCACTCTTGTATATAGACAGTGCTGTTACGGCTTCTTAAGAATCTTTGCTCACAGAATGACTGCATTTAGACAGCACAGTATCCCACCTTCAAAGGCTTACTGTGGGCTGAGCATGGGCTGCCCATTATAATCTATTATTCCAGTAAGAAAAAAGTGTAGAAGACAACAGAGGAAGCCCACGTGGGTCCACAAAAAGTTAAGTGACAACCTGAAAGAAAAAAAAGAACATGTACAGGAGGTGGAAGCAGGGCCAGGCCACAAAAGAATATTAACAAATAAAAAGGAATTGCAGAGATGGCATCAGGAAGCCTAAAACAGGAAATTAACTGATACTGGCAAGGGACGCTAAGAACAAGAAGAAAGCCTTCTTCAGATAAATCCAAAACAAAAGACAGGTGAAAGAGAAAGGTGTCCAGCTACTTAAATGGATGGCAGAGTGATAATAGATGACACGGAAAAGGTGGAGGTGCTCAAGTCCTACTTCGCCTCAGTCTTCTCTCACAAGAAAATCTACAACCAAGAGGAAGTACAAGCTGAAAGTGAGAGACGGCAGCCCAAAATTGACAGACAAATGGTCAAGGAATCCTTACATGGAATAAACATGTTCCGATCTCTAGGGCCTGATGAACTCCACCCCAGAGTCATAGAAGAGCTAGCCATGGGAGGAAATCTCAGAATCACTGGCTATTATCTTCAATAAATCTTGGAAAACAGGAGAAGTTCCAGATGACTGGAGAAAGGCTAATGGACCCATCTTCAAAAAAAGGGGGGAAAGATGAACTTAGGAACTACAGACTGGTTAGTCTGACATCAATCCCTGGAAAAATCCTGGAAAAAATTATTTTTAAAAATCAGTCTGCAAGCACCTCAAAGAAAATGCAAAAACAAATTCTAATTGAATCTCATTTTTGACTAGGTAACTTCCCAAACGGACAAAGTACAAATATGGTACTGAAAAAACCCATATTTCATAACACAACAACAAACTATAGATTCTCCTTATGGGTTGTCCATGATTAACAATCCATGGTTTGTTAGCGTGGTTAGTTCAGACAGCTCAATAACCCATGATTCAGCAATAACCCATACTAAACCTTTGAGTGTGAGCTGTGGTATTGTCTGAACCAAGCTCACTAATATCTTGATATTAGCTTATAAGATGATGCAGGCTCCAAGGAGACTTTCAATTTCTTAATTACTTTCTTGTGGCACATAAGCACATTCCAGTGGAGAGTACATTGCAAACAATTCAAGAATTACTGTTTTATTGTTGTATGCTGTCTTAGGTAGATTTCTGCCCTAAAAGGCAGCCACTCCATATTTTAAATATATAAATAAATTTCATATTTGCATACCAACGGAAACCTAATATAAAGGCAGGGGGTATGAGGTGGCTAGATGAAGTCAGGCGAGAGCTTAAGTGGACTCTGGGGAATGGTGGAAGACAGGAAGGCCTGAAGGAATGTTGTCCATGGGGTTGCGATGGGTAGGACATGACTTCACAACTAACAACAACAACAATCTCTCCTTACCTGACAGTGATAAAATTGCAAAATTGCAAATAACTGTCAGAGGATGGAAGATGTGTTCTAATACCTGTAAGTTGTCTTATCATGGTTGGGAAATTTTAGTCCATGCCACCAGTAATATTGGAGTGAATGATCAGTTACATTTTGTAAATGAAAAGTTAAAATGCTTCATTGTCTTATCATGCATTCACAGATTCCTCTCATCTTTCCAGACTTCTAGCTGCTGTCCGGGTAATGCTAGGAGTTGTAGGACTTTTCTTCTTGTCTAAGCATGCATAGGATTGTACCTTAAATGTGCGATGTTGTGGTGGTGGCAATGGAGATTGCTTTGCATATGTCATTCTTGGCTCTACTTCACTATTTTTAATAAGCCTGAGGTTTGTGACTACGGTGCAGATTCTTATACACACCAGTGAAGATGCTTGCCCAAATGGTGAGCCATCAAACCCTTTCACATCTGGACTTATCACACAACTCACACCATAATGCTAGCAGCAGTTACAAAGTGTAGAAAGGAGTTAGAGGCTGAATCACTAATTCCTCTTCACTGTATTTCTTCCTGTGATATTTATTTATTGTGGGGTATACCTCCTTTATGAACTCGTGTTGTAGGGGCCACTTTAAGAAAAAAGGAAATCAAGTGTGCAAGCCTTGAATGACAGTGTAGATTAACCTTCCTGGACCTTCCTTGGAGCTTCCAGATTATGTTACCTACACGTCTCATGAGTCTCAGCTAGTATGCCCAATGTTCAGGAAGAGAGCCAGAGTTAGATAATGCTGTAGGAGCCTTTATGAGTACAGGAAGTCTGAGTAGAAAGGCTTTTACACTGCTGGCACTGGGTGTTGTATAGACATTGTGAGTCCTGATTTTTTGGGTTAGGAATAGCAGCAAAGTACGAATCCTAAAGAAAATATTTCTATCTATATCCCTTTGGGAGTGCCAGAGTTTAAGAAGCACTATGATAAAAACTTAACGGTTTTGAAGATGCACTGAGGATTCTAGTACCCATCCATCTGGTGATTGCATTAATGTGCTTCTTTGTATCCAGGGGAGAAATGGAGGTAACATTCTATTTCTTGGCATCGTCCAAATGATTGATTGCCACCAATTGGCTATGGGAACAGTTAAAGTCATTGGAAATACAACTTAGTAGAATATGGGGGCTTCTTAAAATGATTAAATCTGTTTGTCTTCAGAGTATTGTTTTATTATTTGACCTGTTGTTTACCACTCTGAAAACTCCATACCAGAATATGGAACAGTGTGTGTTTGTGTGTGTGTGTGTGTATCTTGCAAATACATTTTTTAAAAAATAATCACTTATCCGTTTTATGAGTTAAATTGTTATACGTACTTTAGGTTCCTTCAAAAAACAATTAAGCCCTCATTATACTGTATTCATCATTCAGTGTGAATTTTGAGCACTCTGACTGGGGCCTGGCTGAAATATTTATTTATCCCAAGGATTTATGCATGTCATCATGGTAATGTTCTCCCCTCCCCACCTCCATTCAAGAATTAATCCATTTGAAGATCTGCTAGAGTGTAGCTAAAATGAGAAGTAAGAAAGTCTTTCACCAAACAAAATAGCAAATGGGTTAGCAGAAGTAAGAGAATGTGGGGATGGCAAAGTAAGGAGAAATAAGGACTCTTTCCATTTGTTATTCATACAGTCGAACTGTTCAAGCAAAAGTACTAGTGAATCCAGCCATTGAAAACAGGTGTCACTTCGCTACTTTATCTGCTGGCACATTAGCATGCAGATGTGCTTGGGGTGGCCCTTCTCTGTAACCTTTATGTGCTTCCTTCTGCCTCTCCAGGCTTGTTCATGCTTTTGTTCACCCAAAGATCCGTAGACAAGGCACCATGTGCTGAAGGCTACATGTGACCCATGTACTCTCTGCGGTCTGTTTAGGGAAAGCTCAATTAAAAACCAACTTTCCTCTTCAAAAGAAGGAAAGGAATATGTCACTCACTGATTCACTAAGGCAGACTCTCCCCATCAGCAGGTTTTCCCCTGTCCTTTCCCCCTCTAGCACCCACCTCTGAGGACAGAGAGAAGCCCAGTGGTGAGTTGGTGGGGATTGTTTAGTCTGGGGTCATGTGGGAAAGCGTAATGGAGAATTCAGAGGTGAGGGAAGGGCTCAGCACCCTGCTTGGCTCACTCTGGTCATTCCACCCTCACCCACATTTGGGTTTTAAGGCAAACGCAGGTTTGGAACGCTGGGTTGGTCGGGGTAACATGGAGTTCTGCTCGAAACTTGCTAAATAAATGCACTTTGGATAGTAGTGCAGGGCTATGTGTTTAATGCTGCAGCCATGTCGCTCTTTCAAACAACTTTTAAATTCTTCCAACTGCTTCTGGCTACAACGTCTTCCAGTTTTGATTGACTTATAACTGCATGCGAACCCACCTTGCATCACTTCTTTTTATCAGGCCGAGAGGGACTTCCTGTGCTCCACAGCCTGCCTTCCTGATGCATTTCCTTTTTCCCTTTTAACAGAACAAAGGAAGCTATAACTCCTTAGCTGCTCCTGTTCCAGCTCTCCTGGGGACCTTCACATAATGTTTGCATTGATTGTTAGCTCCTTTTCCTTTTTTTGGTGAAACAGGAATTATCTTGAGTACTGGCCAGCATGTTTTTCATTTCTAATATTGTTTCGAGCAGTTCCTTTAAAAAGACAGAAGGAAAAGCAGGAGGAGGAATGGATCCACGTGTGAGGCTTGTTTCAACTCTAGAATGATGAGCACTAGCCAGGCAACTCAGCTTGCGGGTCTGAGCAGGCTTCTTGGACCCAAGAGCCAAGGGCCAAGTCTAGGTGAGACTAAGGCCAAGTCTTCCTGGTGAGAGAATGCTGAGGATGTCCTGGGGCCATTCTGGAGAATTCTGCCTGTACCTCTTAGGTGGATTAAACTCACTCACCCACCCAGCCAGCCAGCATCTCTCCCTTTAGAGACTTAAACATTACAGGAGCACAGGCGTGAGAAGCTTCTGTTGTGCAGACCAGAAGTCTTTGCTGAGTGCAGATACAGTGGTCACTTCTGGTAGAACACATCACCCAAAGGGGAGGCATATTTGCATAGTGTTAGCCTGTGCTAATCGAGACATACAGGTACAAATAGGATGCATTTGCCCAGACTGGGAAAGCTGTTGCCTGCTCAGTCTGGTGTCCAGATGGGTGACTTCCAGCCAGAGTTCTTAAAATCGGAACTAAGCAGTTTCCCGAACAGAAAAGATCTACTAACAGAAAACTGTCCTCTGCAGAGTAGGACACATGGCCACCTTAGGTGTCTGGAGCATATTTATAGCACGCCTCTTCCAAAGGATAAAGATGCCCAGTGAATCATTTCAATCCATTCATGTGACTGTCTCAACTTAAAAGGGACAGTCCCTGTTCTCTGGTTTTGTCCCTGACAAATCTCTGCTTGTACTTTGTCCCCATTTCTTGCCTTTGGGGAATGCATTGTTGAAATGTTGTAAGTTTCTGGAGAGATCATCATTCTCAGGATTTATGTTCCTTCTCAGAATCCATAGATGTGAAATCTCCAGCCGGGTGGGAAGATACAAAGGGGTGGCAGGGGTGTTTGCACTGGTCTTCGTGCAGGGATGATTATCAGGCTGAAGAGCTGAGAGGTCCTTTGTTCAAGAACTTCACCACTGCCCGTAGCAAAGTGAAGGAAATGGCGAACTGAGGAGGCAGTGCGTGGACAGAATTAGGTTCTGAGGAAGCAAGGGCAGGGCAAGGACTAGGCAAAGGGTCTTGTCAGACTCATGGTGTCGCTGTTAGAGGGGTGTGTCCAGGCTAGGGTGGGACTCAGCTCACCTTTTGTGATTTGGTGACTGTGGGGCAAGGCAAGGTTTCATCTGAACAACTCCTAAGATGAAGGTCCTGCTTTCTCTTGCTGCTGTAGCAGTGTTGGCCTGAACCATGTGAATTAGAATCCCATGGAATTTGCAGGAAACTTGAACAAAGGAAAGCCCCGCCGGTAATGATAAATTTGACCTTCCTCCATTTTTTTCACGAGAACTAGTGCAGCACAGTCGCTGGAGTTTAGGGCTTGACTGCAGGGAAGCTCAGTGTGGGCAAGTGATTTCCTTCTGTCCCAACGGACTCTTACTCTCCTTTCTTGGAATAGGTGATTGTTAGTGCTACCTATCTCCTCTGATCTTCATCCTAACTATAGCTAGATGTCAGAGCTAGGCTTGAGATGCTCATGTTTAGTATTATGACTGGTGTTTGGATAGTATTTACGACTGGTACACAAAGACATGTAGACTGCATTTTTATCAGCGTGGTGCTCAAGGTCCTCCTTCATCCTACCCTGCATGGTAAGTAAAGCTGAGACAGGGATTGAGAATGGCTGGTCCATCCACTGAGTGTTATGGCTAAGAGTGTGCTGGCAATAACTTTTCTGTGGACTCATCAAAATCTTAAACCAATGGAAATATCACTGTGGGCAGAAAATAGGCAGCCAGCCACGTGCATAAGGGTCATGTGAAGTGACCCTAGATTAGAACTAATTAGCCTGTCTTTATATCTGTCTCCATATTTTCCTTTTACGGAAATGATGTTTGAAGATTAGACTGTCTTTCGTATGCATCTTCTCTGAATGCCGGTGGGACACCTGGGTTAGCACCTGCCAAAACACAATGCAAATGAGCTCTGGAAATCTGGGCTTGATCAGTGCTGCCATAATGAAGACTAATAGACATAATAATGTCCCTGAATAGCTTTCCTTCAAATGGGCCATGCTTGGATATTGATTCAATTGCATTAATTAATGTATCAGAAAGAAAAGGGCAGCATTGCCCACCCCAGAGGCGAAAAAAAGAAAATAAAAGAAAGACTTCTCAATGCTTTTTTTTTTTTTTTGTTGCTGTTTAGTTTTTCTTTTCTAATAAATGGATGAGGGGGAGCTTTTATTCCCTCTGCAAAAGCTCTGCTTCCAGAGCTCTGATGTATTCTACAGATAGATAGAATGCAAAATTCTGTTGCTGAAAGCTTAATTTGCAGAGAAATTATTACTGCTAATTCACAGCTGTAACAGGCTTCACTAATGGATTGGAAATCATATGACTGGTTGTTGCTGTTTCTCCAGATTGCTACTTTAATGCCAGCATTTATAGGAGTTTGTGGGGCATCTAGTGACTCAAAAGTAGCACTAGAATGACCTTTGCAATGAAAATATAGAAATGACTCTAAGTCATAAATATGGGTTTATGGGCTAATACCTGGACTTGACATTTTACAGTGCTTTCAGCTATGTCATTATTGCTTCATTATGACATCTTAAGTTGCTCCGGTAGATAAGATCCACAGAAGTGTTCATAGATAACGTCTCAAAATATTTCTTTCCATACTGCCAAAATATCATCTATCATTCCTCAGTTCCATTGCCTTTTTTCTTTCAGCCCTCTCTAGAAATCTGGCATTTTTGTTCACTTCAGTGGATTCCAACCTCTTGTATTGATGATCCAGTAAAGGTTTTCTTGTATTGTAGCACTTTAGATTAAAATAGGTTACATGTTTGAATGATCTCAAATACAGAAGGACTGTATGCACATGGAATATTTATATATGTGTTAGGCAGAAGCCGAGACCGAGTGTTTCCTCCTAACATGCTTAATCTGCATGTGCAGAGAAAATCATCATCTTCATCATCATCTCAATGAAATTGACATTTGGGTTCTCTCAAACCCAGGGGCACAAGTGAGAAGCATGTTTCTGTTCACTTGCAACCTGAGTCCAGTCCAGAAAACAGTCCAGAAAACTTGGCCTGATTGATTTTGTTGCAGACCTAAACAATCCAGCTGACATGGGAAGTAATGATAAGTTTTCTGTGTAGGACAAGATCCTAGAACAAAGTAAGGAGCCTTTTGAATGGCAATACCTCCATACCGCATTGCAAAGAGCATTCTGAAACTTTGCTCGCTTTCAAAAACTGCACAGCTTTGGAGCAGGACTGATGTTAGAGAAAGTTGTCTTTGGAAGCCCTGTTGGGCACATCACATGTGAGCTGGATCCAAAGAACAGGGGCACAAGTGAGAAGCATATTTCTGTTCTACCAGTCCTGAAGAGATTGTACTCATCAAAATCTCTTCAGAATGTCATTTTGGGATAAGCACAATAATGCTATAAATACTTGGGGCCATTTCCTGTTGTTCTTACTGCAGCTTGTGAAAGTTCTGAGTTTGGGTGAGGGTGTGACTGTAATCCATGCAGTGACACATACGCGAACCATCCGCTTTGCTTCTCATGCCCTTTGCATTGTGGTCTGGAATATTTTGTTAGAGGATTTTTGCTTTGTCTTTTGGTCAAGTTTTCAGTCCGTTTGAGCAGAAGGCTGTTCAGCGAAAAGTTGTGACAGCATGTTGGGTTCTTTTTCCTTGCCAGAGGTCGTGCTCATACTCACACACTTTCTGTGGCAGGAAGGAACTGGATGCAAGTTTGTCCCGTTCATTTAAACAAGATTGATCATATAAACATTTAATTAATGGGCAAGCTAATGCGAGTTAAGAATGCTGCTTGACAGTGTGTTGTATTGTACTGCGGTTGTCTTTTGGGCTTCTATGGGCCAGCTGCGTTAGCACCCGCCAAAACATAGTGCAAATAAGCTCTGGAAATCTGGAGTTGATCAGCACTTCCAGTGGTGGATCTAGCTGATTTGGTTTGGTAGTATGGAAGGTCCACTTCCAGTCCAGCTTCTGTGAAAGGGGGTTGGATGTCAGCTTGGATTGTATTAAAACCTCTCCAAGAACTTGTGCCCAAGGATGTATCCCGCCCAAGTCCAGTCCCCTGCCTGCTGCAGTCCTTTAAGCATCACAAGTGACATCCCTTCACCCTCCTGCTTCTGTCAAATGGCCTTTCAAAATCACTCTGTCATGAGGCCTTTGCTTCAGCCTGCAAAGCCTTCATTGCTTAGCTAGGTAAGCAATCATTCCTATTCCTTGTCACTGTCGTTTTCTCATCATTGGCAGACTTCAGATTGCAACCTCCTTGGGGTGGCAACCTGACAAGCCTATGTTTTGCTTTTGTAAAGCACCTTATTGATGGCGATGGCCATATAAAAAAACAATGATAAAATTATTCTAGAATACTGGGCAGAATCCAACACTTCAGCATTGGTTATTCAGGTGATAATGAGCTAGTAAAGCAACCACCAGCCCAATGCCAGTAGCAGCAGCTAGTGCAGCAGGTGTCTGGAATATTTAATATGTTGCTTTACCCTTTTAGATTGTTCTTATGCAGCATGGAAATGTGACATGGCCAATAAATAGTGAGATGCATAATAAGAAAAATGACACCCTAGAGATACCATGATGCTTGATATATATCTTTTTAATTTTGTGAACATTTCTGTTGCATCCATGATTCTGTTCGATTCCATGAGGACTAATATCATCTCTGCTAATATCACAGCTAGGACCATAGTGCTGCTTCCAGCACAGCACCAGGGGTACCAGTGCATAAGATCAGGCTGTTAGTCCTCATGAAATCAGTCAGACTAACACTTCATTTAAAAAATACGTGTTCTGTATCAACATCCCATCAATTTGAGTTTAATTTCATGGACTGTGATCCTATGCCCATACAGTAGCTGGTATGCCACATTTTAAGCACTTTCTTTCTTCATTTTGGTGGAGCTGCTTCAAGTGTAAGATTTCATTTTCTTGGGGTTGGAACTCAAGTAGCAGCTACATAGTTTATCCAAATCTTCAAAAGTATATTTCAAAATACAGGTGAGCACCCATTCTTTCTCCTTCCCAGCCTCTGCATATTTCAAAAAAGTCAAATAAGACACATGCGCTTTGATAAATGTTTTAACCTCCACCTACTCTGCCAGTTTTAACCTAGGAATAAATCAACTCAAATATGACCTCTGTAGCTTAACTGCAGCCATAGCGCACCTTCAGGATGCATGTGGTGTTTGAAACATGCAGAACATCTCAGATTCAGTCTACTGGATATCTTGGAAAGTCATTTGTCTGGAGAGTCACTCCATATAAATGATACCAAACCAGTTGGATCACCGTTCTGACCCAGTATGAAGCAACTGTTCCCTGCCTACAAGTTTGATACTTCTTACACAGGGCTTCTCTGAAGCTGTTTTCTCAGTGGTCGTGCTATACATTGCTTCCCCCTAGGGAGTAAAAAGTCATTTCTACGCCACCATGCTGACTGCAAGAGCTCTCCAGCTGTGGTGTGAAAACTCTCCTTGTCAGTTCTCTGCTCTTCTGCATCATGGTAAACAAGGAAAGGAAAAAGTGAAACCAGGAAAATTGGTTCAGTGGCGTGCATTTCCATAAGGCATTCTTCCAAGGTGCAGTGCTTAAATGACCTGTAGAACACATCTGCCATTAGACAGCACAGCATCCCTCCAGCATGCATGCCTTTTAGAAAAGGATTAATCACTTCCCCTAAGATTTGAAGAACCACCAGGATGAGAAGCATTATCCGCTTTGTAACTAGCATGTAAGGATCTAGTCGTGCGACCTGACCACAGTCTTCCAGGCTATGATGAGATGAACCATTCTTCCAAAACATCCATTTCTAGATACACACGAATATGTGCAAAGTGCATGCACACCAGTGTTCTCTTTCATGATATATTTCCCCTCTGGCTCTTCAAAAATGGCCATCATAGCTCTATTTCTCCCTTTCTGGCGGACCCTTCTGGAGACTCAGCCTTTGCCCATGGATGCTGGGTGCCATTGCTCAGGTTACACAGAGTAGCAACTGGCACGATGCAGTGACCAGAGCCACCCACTGAGAAGTTCTTCCCTACTTGGAGGAGGAATGGCAGCTGGTAAAATGGCAGTGAGAAGGTGGATTCATTGAGCTCAATCATCTTTTGATAGTGCCTTTTGGAGGGGCCCTCCAAAGCATGGAGCTGGCACTTCCCTGAATAATCCATGCTTGGGGAGAAAGGGGGCATGACCATCTGGATAACCTCAGAGGGCTGCATTTGGATGCAGGATTCTGACCTAGACAAAGAATGAAACAAACCATGCAGGGAATGTATTTAGATTATTTCGATACCATTCCATATCCAAGCAGTTTCTGAAGCAGTGAGCAGTGCAACAGGGGAACAAATACTACGTATGAAAGAAAGATGCATTAAAACATTAAAAGGGTAATATTAGGACCGTGGCTGGTCAGCAAGAAAAGCTTCCTAGAACAAAACTGTCTTTAGCAGGCACCAAAAACAGCCCAGTGTTGGTGCCTGCCTGACCACCTGGGACAGGAATGGGGTTTTCACACTGAAAGTTCTTCTCTTGGTGGATCCCAGTTGGGCCATGGGTCTGTGAGGAACCACCAGGAGAAAGTC